AATAATGGTTCATATTTAATAGTATGATTTAATGAACATTTTTTACATTGTTGAGAATTACCAAGTATTATATTATATGGTAATTGAATTTTAAGATTTTCTTCTTCTTGAAATAAATTTGGTATACTTAATGATTTGAAGTGATTAATTTCAAAACATCTATTACAATAAATTTGTATTTGTATTGTAGAAATAATAATGAAATCAATATTATTTAATTCTAAACCATTTAAAATTAATTTATCCCAATATTTAGTAATTTCATTTATGTGATATTCTTTATTATTATTATCGTTATTATTGTTATTATATTCTGTATTGTTATTATATTCAGTATTATTATTATTATCATTTATATTTTTATCTTTATCTTTATCTTTAATAGTTGAAATATTAGATATATCATTATCTGATATATCTTTAATATATATTTTAGTATTCTTTTTATTAATAACTAAAGAACGGCAATATTTATAACGTTCTATACATTGTTGGACTGTTATACCATCTCCAACATGTTTAGCAATTTCATCCCATTTTCTTTTTGGATCTTTAGTATATTTATAATAGCATAAAGCTTCTTCTAATAGTTTTTGTTTTTTAGAATTCCAGAAATTTATATTATTATCAATATTATTGACTTCATTAGATTTAATAAAATTAACTAAATATTTATCTAATAATTTTAAAGTTTCATAAATTGGTGATTTAGTTAATATAAATTTTTGAATTGATGAAAGGAAAACATCTCTTATATTAGGAAATATATTATTATATTTATATACTTCAATTAATATATTATTAATATTTCCTTCTGGATAATCAGATGGTATATAAATAGATAATGGTATTCCTTTTAAACCATGATTATTGATTGTTTCATCATCTAATAATTCAATTGGAAATTCAGGATCAGTTGGAACTAATATAAGTTTTATAGTTAATGGTAAAGATGGAGTTTGTAATAAATCATTATTTATTAAATAATCAGATATTAATATTTCTGCAGAATATAAAAGTTTTAAACGTTTCCATTCAATATCCCAAGAATATGGTGAATATCTTTTAATTAAAATTTCTTCATCATTTTTATTATTATATATAAAATTTTTCATAATATATTTAGATGAATCTACTTCATTATCTATTATATTATTAGATTCATTAGTATTATTAACCATAGTATAGTAAGTTTATTTACTTATATTAAGGTAAAATTTAATTAAAATTAAGATAATCTTATAAGAACAATAAGTTATAAGAAATAAATACTTTCACGTATTAATAGCTTAACCGCTAATAATAAAAAAATAAAGAATTAAGAAAAAAAAAAAGTTATTAATAATATTAATATTTATAAATCCAAGTTAATAATAGATTATATATCCTAAATAATCTAACTTAAAATTAATCCTTATATTGAAATATATTGTACATTATAACTGAATTATTAAATATTAATATTCTATTCTATTAAATTATCAAGAAATTGTTCTTATTTACTTTGAGATATATTTACTTTAGATTCTAAATAATATAAAAGACAATATGCTTGTGCTTTTTCAACATCTGATAATTTAACATTTGTAACAATTTCATCATCAAATTTAAACCATTGATTTATACTTTTCTTAAAACTATATGTAATATAATGACCTTGAAAAAGTGTATTACCATTATGTTCAATTACACCAATAAGTTTATATATTCCAGTTTCAGATATTGATTTAAGTACTATTCCAGTTGTTTTAAATGTAACAATCTTTGTACATTTTTGTCCACAATTATTAAAACGTTTTAAAGTTACAATCATTATTTTAGGAAATTGTGAAATATTAATACGTCTTGTTGCCCTTACAAAATCTT